GCAGTCACAGTGCAAGGGGCGGGGTACACCCTGGACAGGTCAATAGTCCATCACAGGGACACATAGAGACAAACGAGACAAACAACCATTCACTCTCTCACTTTCACCTAGGGACAATTTAGAGTTACCAGTTAACCTAACAGTCATGTTTTTGGTCTGTGGGAGGAAGGGTTAGGAATACCCGGAGAAAACCCATGCATGCATGGAGAGAACATGCAAACTCTACCCAGAAAAGTCCCCGAGCCGAGATTTGAACAACCTTCTTGCTGAGAGGCATCAACTCTACCAGTTAAGCCACAATTAAATTAAATTAAATTTATTTTACACAGTTGTCTCCACTCTCTGCCTTACTGAGCATTTTTCTTAGCTCAGTAAAAAGAAATCAAATAGATAAGCACACAGATCTGGTGGGAAACAACACTGACCAAACATCTTGATTTTTCWTTTTAAGCTGCTTAGTGGAGCCATGTGTTTTATCGTGTCTGTATGTGTGAGTATGTGCTTTTGTTAGTTTGTTAGCATAACATTTGTTGAACAAGTAAAGCAATTTGAATGAAAAACTAGGAAAGTTGTCGTTGGCTGCTTGGCCTTAGTAAACACTAAAATGATGGTAACTCAGTAATTTTTACAGATGTTGAGCTAATTTTTCATGTGATATGCGATGCAGCAAACAATATGCAGTCCTTCAAAGAATAAACAAGGCCTTGGACTGGCCACAAATTTATACAGTTCAGTCAGAAAAATCAATCAATCAATCAATCAAACTTTATTTATAAAGCGCAATAACATCAGCCACTGCTGAAACAAAGTGCTGAACACATGAAAATAAAAACTCAATACAAAAACACTATAAAATCACACAGTTAAATAAGTAAAATCAACACCAATACAGTAAAAGTTGAGTAAAATCAAATCTCAGTTGGGTTGAAGGCAAGTGAGAAAAAATAAGTTTTTAAACGAGTTTTAAAAATGGGCAGTGAAAAAAAAAGAAGAGAAACTATAAAGCTCACATCTTCAAAAATGCATTTTTCTGAAATTCTRTTGCTAGCAACACTAGCAATAGCAACACTAAAACATTTAGTGGCCTTTCTTGCTTTATTTCTTTGTGTACATAACCAAAGACATGACTCAGAGTGTTTGTGAAGGCAGAGAAGATGTACACCAACCTGCTGAGGAGGCAGTGGACTGACTGAGCCAGGGTGTACAGACAGAGCTGTGCGACAGAATCAGGACAAATGAGTCAATATTTAAAAATAGCTTAAAGCTAACCTCTGCAGAACAAATGTACTTTGCACTTTTAGGTGCTACTATCAGCTCTTTCAAAAATAAAACAATCTACTGCGCAGTTACAACTGCTTTTGACTGAAAC